AGACGGCCCCCACACTCTCACCAGCACTGATGTCTCTGATTTTATTGGTGAGAGTTATTCTCACTCCCTTGAGAGGAAACCCTGAAGAAGTCTTAATTCAAAGTTCTCTGAAGGTTAAAGCTGCTCAACACTTTTTCAAGTCTTTATTGGCCATTTATACAGGAAACGTTGTTTGGAGAAATCACATGTAGCATATGAAGAGTGAGTCTGTGGATTCAGGAGGAAAGGGAATGGATCTTGGGGAAGCGTTTCACTGCTTGTACAACATATGACTCATTTCCTCATTTGGGAAATAAACTGTTACAAATATGAAATGAAGTAATAAAGACTTAATGAAATGAATGCTTTCAAGGAAAAGTTAATTCTCTTTCTGTCTCTCATTTGTATGAGAACATTGACCAACATAAAGCTTATGAAGCCCCGAGTCACCAATTCCAGTCTTTCGTAGACAAATTGATTTTCCCAGTGGGAAACAATGTGTGTTCAAATACCCACAGAGGGCAAAGCCGTCACCCTGGGCCAGATTTCAGCACGGTTAGCCCTGACTAGCTTAGAAAGCAGATCCTGCAGCTCCCTGTGTATGTTCTCACTACAGCATCTTGATTGCTGAGACATTCCTTTTTCCTGTATTCTGAAAATCACGAGTAAGCTTATCAAATGCGACAGCCCATGCTGACTCCCTTCTCACTGGAGTGACTGTTAGCATACCTGAAAGCATTTTACTGCTCACAGATGTGTCTGGCTGGGGCCCAATGCCCCCAAGTTAATTTGAATCTGACCTGGTCATGTCTCCGTTTTCCTTAAGGAAATAAATACAGGAATGAGCTTCCCAGTGTCAGTTATAGAATCTTCTCTTTCTGCTTCTTTTTCAGTGAATTAAAAAAAAAAAAAAAAAAAAAAAAAAAACAGATTTAAAGAAGCCTTTGCCCTTCGCTGTCTTAGCCGAGTGCTGCTGCGTCTCTTCTCTCCTGTCACATAGTCATTTTCACCCTTAGCTTCCTAGTCTGTGTTTGAGTGCCTCCCCTTTGGGTAGAACCTGTCATAGGACCTTGGATTTTAAACCATCCACTACCTAAAGTAACTTCGGGAACATTATTACACTGCCAACATTAAAAATAGCAAGTGTGCATTTGTATTCGTGTCCTAGAATAGCCAACTACGGAAGAGTGCAGGTGGCCAGGAAGAGGGTGAAGGAAGGCATGATATTTAGGTGCTAACGTATTTCTTTTTAAACAAAATTTAATTTATTCACGCTATGTGACAACGTTTGTCTGTATTTGTTTAGCTCAAATAACCAATTTTTTCCTTTTGACTTTTACGTTTTTTCAACAAAGTTCTCTTTTGGGTTTTTAATCTGTTACCTTAAAACGCTTAAGTTTAAAAGAACATGTGATAAAAATGAAATCAATGTCTTCTTTAAAGGGGCCATCCACTCAGGCTCGGTCCTTTTTTGTAGGACCCTTGGATGGTTTCCAAGTCAAAGCCATTAACAAGTTGTCCGTAGCCCGTCTCGCCCTGCTTTGAATTAAACCGCAGTTGCGGACGACAGAAGCTCTCCTTTCATCTTTTGTGGGGAGGTCGCCCGGCTCCTAGCGAGCGTCTTCTGGAACCAGCCCCTTGGGTTGCGCCTTCTGCTGAGTCCTCCCTGTGCTGCTCACATCTGGGTGGCCAGGGGTCACACGGGATGGCGGCGCCTCTGCCCCCTTCCCTTTAGGGAGGAGCAGATGGCGCGGGCGCGGGCGCTGGTGCGCAGCTCCCTGCCACGGGCGGGCAGCACGGGGAAGGGGCCGAGCTGGCGGCGACCCCTCGGCCTGCGGACGGACGCCGCTGACTTTCGCGTTTGCATTTGCTCCTGTAGCCCCAAAGGCGGTGAAACTGCCATCCCGTCGCCCCACCCGGGAACTGTCGTCAGAGCGCAGCTGCGCCTCGGAAGTGCACGCGCAGACGGGCGCTGGCCCGGGCGGCCCCGGCCTGCCGCCACCACTGTCCCCGAGGCCCGGCGGCAGCCCCCGGACCCCACAGCACCGCCACCAATGGCAGTCCTGGCTGCCAGGGAGGAGCCAATGAGGCTCTAGGAATAACGACCGCGACGGGCTCTTCGGCTCAATTCCCTTGCTCCGAGCCTGGAATCGCTAGAGGCCCTTTCCCCACCCCTGGGACACCCAGCGCCCTCCTTGGAGTCCCCACGCTTCAGGTTAAGGAAGGGAAGGTGTGCGCCTCCCTGGGCTTCTGTTTACGCTCAGCCTTCGCAGCCCGGGCAAGCTTTTCAAAAATTAGCAACTGGAAACGAAAACGGCATTCCCTCCACGCCATCAGCCTTGGGACCGGGCTTCTGGGCTTACCGCGGAAACCGAACAGAGGTCTGGAAAAGTTCGCCCGAGCTAGAAAGCCTCTGTTTACGGAAATTGATATGACTTCAGGAGAGACTGGAGGAACAAAGCCGGTGTTAGTACTTGTAAAACCCTGCGTCAGCCCTTCTTACGGTGAAGGCTTCTGAATCAAAGCAGAGACGTACTTCCCACCGCAGAAATGAGAGCTCTCTGTGCGCCAGGCATAAGCTTTAAGCCCTTCCTGGCATCCCCTCCTCCCGTTCAAACCTACTCTGTTACAAAGTTTGGCCCAGACTCCGAGAGTAGCAAGTGTCAGAGGCAAAGCCAAAATCCTCATGTATCTGATGCACTTAAGTTAGCAAAACGTTTCAATGTCCAAATTAACTAAAGCTAAACAGCCTGGAGACTTTCGCTTCTAGAAGGCATGAATCATCCTCCTTTTCTTTTTTTCATTTATCTTTTGGTACAGAAAATTCTGTTAAAGTCTAGGAAATATTGAGTGCCTTTTAGCATTGCTCTCTCAGGACGAGTTACGGCCACTAGGCCACTACGGAGCTACAGAGTGAAGGGGAGGAGGGGAAAAGGGACACGTGCCTGGAATTTCAGCAAGAGGGAGACTGAAGCAGGAGGATTCCCTTGAGTCCCAGGCCAGCCTAAGGTACATAGCAAACACCTGTCTCAAAAAAACTTTTTTTATAAAAAGCTGAGAAAGCCTCACTTAGCTGATTGTTTTATTGATTTGACTTTGGCATAGAGATAAATAATGGCATTAATTATCTATGCAGTTAGATGCATGCTTGAGCAAATAGGGGGATTGTCTTAGTCAACCTTTGGACACTTACAAACAAGCTGCAATTAAGAGCTTTGTAAACCTGTGTTTGATTTTTATTTTTAATGCTACAATCTGTTCTAATAGGGAAAAAACGGGTGGCTGGAAGTCTGTTTTAGTAAATTGATCAATTCTCCGTGTATTTCACTTAACCAAACAATCCTTCACTTGTTTGTTTATTGACTATTTTCCCACAAAATAAGAATTACAACAATTAGTACTGATGGAGGAAATAAAGTGCAGGAACTGCTTCTATAGCTAATAGAATTTTTTCCTGTTTCAATCCTGGGAGCCTTTCTAACTTTCCCTGATAGCTTGCAAGATCTGATTTCAAAAAGAAAAAAAAAATCTTTTCAACCTTCTATCCAAGGATGAATCTGCTTTCAAGTGACAATTGCTACAAAGAACAAGATTACAAAGGACAAAAACATGATAACTAAGCAGGTGGTGGAAAAAAAAAAACTGAATCACAGAACCTAAGTTCAGCAAGCAAATGCTAAATCATGAGTATCATGCACAGATAATCAAGATCATTGCTGAACCTCCTTTATGGAGAGAAAAGAAAAGCAAGTAGCTTAGGAATCTGGCCCAGAATAGTTCCTCAACAAATGTATGTTTACCATTGTGTCCACAAGAGTAGTCTCTGTCTCTCTACCTCCCTGTCCTCTTGTGTGTGTGTGTGTGTGTGTGTGTGTGTTTCTTCTCCCCACACCCCTGTACTGTTTTCTCTTACACAGGAAAACAATATCTAGCCAGCTAACATTACAAGCCTATCATTTCCAATACACATCTTTACATCTTTTCATAGAATCTTTTTTAAAGTCACCACTAAGAGAAATCAAATGTTATTAGTTGTGGTGAGAAGAAGAAAAGGAAGAAGGGGAAAAGGAGAAGAAGAAGAAGAAGAAGAAGAAGAAGAAGAAGAAGAAGAAGAAGAAGAA